AAATGGCTTTCCAAAACCTCTGAACACTGCTGCAGTAAATGGTTTATCACTTAAGGAACAGCAGTGTATATAAAAATGTGGGAGGTCTGAGGCCATGTTCAAAAAATTAATAAATCTCATTATTTATTTACAGTAAATATATAAATGGAACCAGTGCATATTTGCCCATTTTTGTGAAAAGGTCAAAAGCCATGAGCAGCCCTGAGAAAAGACCTAAGTGTATAATTTCTTAAGCAAATCGACCATGTGCCCCACGTGAAAGCAAACATGTTTCTTAGTACGCCTTATATTCTCTGCTCATGACAGCTGAGACTGAGCCAGCAGTGTTGTTTTCTTCCTTAATATCTGAAATATTAAGGGGAAAAAATAACACTGAACTGAACAGGAAGTCGCAGCACATTTTGGCCAATGCTAATAGTCTAAATTTAAGTAACTAAATGGATTACAGTATTTTTATCTTTAAACCCATTAGGATTTAGAAGCATTGGGCTGCAGTTCAGTTTCTAAATTATTGTTTTCTTTATTTAGAAACTGCAGCTCTGACCTTTTGGGCAATCCAGCTTTACTTCCATAGGACATTTAGAGGGGGCGTGTAAAAAGCCAGTGAAGTCATACTCAAGAGGTACATACATAGGCCTGTTTGGATTTATTTGGGGAGATTCCCAAGGGTTTGTCAAAGAAATTTGAAAGTTTAAATTCAGCCTTTCTGATTGACAGTGAAAGTGGTCTAGATCTTATTCAAAGATGTCTGTGATTTACAGCCTCAGGCGATTGTGGTCATTCTGGACTTTTTAAAAATATTTTCTCTAAATTCTATAACTGACTCATTAAAAAAAAAAAAAAAGTCTTCTGAACTTCCCCCTGCCCTACAAGATGCAGTGTCTTGTATTCTTAGAATGATAACTTTAATTGCAAGCAAGATACAAGCTTATGGTGTGGCTTGGGAAGGAAGTACCTCTTGAAGATAATAGTCACTATTTTTAGACTGACTTAAACAGAGAGGAGAAAGAGTGATCTTTATGATCTTCATTTAGCCTTAGACTAGGAGATGCACTCTCTAAAATATCTAGTTACTTACTGGTTACTTCGGATAAGTTTTCAAAAGCACTTTTAAAGATACTTTTAAAAATGTATTTGTAATGAGTAACTGACTTAATGCTAGTTTTAGAGAAAGATTCCTTCTAATTCCATTGCAAAATAAACATAACAGCTTACTAAACAAAAATAGATTTTCCATAGTAAAACTTATTCAGAACAATGGCACATTCCTGGGCCCGGGATTCAAAAGTGGGTATTAATTCAAAGCAGCTGGATGCTGGGATTGAGAACAAGACTGTCCTGTCTTCCTGCCTCAGCCCTGCAGAATTTGATGTGCGACAATATTTTACTGCTTTTAAGTGCTTCTCTATCCTATTAGTGAGCGAGAGGGGGTGGAGGGAGAGAGAGACTGTAGGAAAATTCCTACAAAGACTATATAGGAATACATACACTTTGCAACCTTATGTCCACATTTTTGCATTCAAGAAAAACTCCCAGAGAGATCATGCTTCTTTAACATAAAAGGTAGACCCATTCCCTCTGATTGTCTGATTTGTTTTCTTCTACTCAGCTAACTTTCCAGGGCTGGAGTTTTATACTTTTTTCCTGATTTCAGCTTCTTCCACAGTTCCCATCTAGTGGTCCCTAGTTATGTTTTGGGATCACTGTAGATAAAATTTGTAAAGGGCATCGTGAAACTATTATGAGTTAGTATGCTAACGAAAGCAATTATATAACCCAAGTAAACACATTATTGTTAGAGATTTAGGGGAACTGAGAGGAGAGGATCATTGCCACTTCCAACCAGATGGTAGTGGGGTACTCCAGCAGGGCGCCCCAGTTCTCATGAGTAAAACATTTCATGGTTAGTATGATGGGTTTATTGTCAGGAAGCTTGTATCCGCTCGTGGGGTGTGTGTGTGTGTGTGTGTGTGTGTGTGTGTGTGTGTGTACATGTCCATATGCACATACCTACACATGCATAATGATGACATTCAGCTCTCTGTTTCAGAGCTGAAGCTATTTTAAAAACTCACCAAGTTCGAATAATTTCTCCAGAATAAATAAGGGGACTCCATCTTGTTACTTGTTACTTTTATTTACAAAGGAGATGAGGAAACAACCCCCCTCACCTTGAATTTTGGTAAGACTGTTTCTGAGGAAGGTTTGTAAACGAAATAGAGAATTTTTTAGAAATCTGAGGTCTACCTGGGAGTTTCCTTGGTTTTTTTTTTTTCATATTCATAACAAAGTGATACATGATAAAACTCTAAGTAATTGAAAGAGTTAAAAGGTTTTTTGTGTTGGAAACATTAGACGAACAGATGGTATGCGCGTAGGTGGGAAAGCTATTATTTAAACAGAGGAGGGCTAATGTATACTGGAAGGGCATAGATTTTTGAGGGTAGCTGGGGACTTAACATTGTGGGGGCCAGATTAATATATTTACTAGTGGACACGGTAGAAGCGGAAGCCAGAGCATATGGTCAGGAAGGGAGTTAACAGGCTGCTGACAAAGAGGAAGAATATGGCCGTTGAAGTAACCAAGGGGAGATGAGAAGTGGATAAAAATGGTTTTGAGATCCCTAAGGGCCTTGAGAACCTAAAAGAACCTCAGGTGATAAGGAAATCAGTTTGGCAATATTTATATTGTTAACCTTTGTCTGAAAAGTGTTCGAGAAGAGAATGAAGGAGGCAGCTCTGAATGACCACGCTGGGCTTTCACCAACACGCTGATAAGTGAAATGTGTCAAGGAAGTGAAAATCAGGTGAAGCCTCCAAGTCACAGAGGCAGGAAACCATAAAGAACACCAAGATGCGGAAAATCTGGTAGTAGATGCTAGATGATCAAACAGAAAGTGGGGCACTGACTTTACTTTTGAACGCGTCCATGTTCTTTTTTGTCCGTTTAAAAAACGAGTGGGTTTAGTAAAACAAAACAAAAAACACACAAAGAAACAAAAAGTTCCCGTAGTTATGTTGGAACAAGGTCCTTTTCCTGTTGTGTTTTTGGCTCGGTCTGGTAACTGGCCAAGTCACCTGCTGGCCAAGCCACTCTTCATCTGACAGGGGGTGGTTTTTGCCCTGCGTGAACTTCAAACTGTGTTTGAGATTCATGAGGTCATATTTCTCAAGACATCTCCAAAGTGCTAGATGAATCCAAGTGGGATCTCCAGCGTAACCATCAGTGGTATTTGTGGATGACTTCAGAGTTTACAGGCATTCTTGTTCAAGCTTTAAAATCAGTTCTGGGGGCACCTGGGTGGCTCAGTTGGTTAAGCGACTGCCTTCGGCTCAGGTCATGATCCTGGAGTCCCGGGATTGAGTCCCACATCGGGCTCCCTGCTCGGCGGGGGGTCTGCTTCTCCCTCTGACCCTCTTCCCTCTTGTGCTCTCTGTCTCTCAGTGTCTCTCTCAAATAAATAAAGAAAATCTTTAAAAAATAAAATAAAATCAATTCTGCAGGGACACCTGGCTGGCTTGGTCACTGGAGCATGTGACTCTTGATCTCGGGGTCATGAGTTCAAGCCCCACATTGGGTGTGGAGCCTACTTAATTAAAAAAATTAATAAAATAAAATCGATTCTGTGCCCTTTCGTGTGGGTGTGTGATTAATCAAAATATGAATTAGAAGAGAGAAACAAATGTATGAATTTTGTTATTGATTATTTAGGAGATCAATGCAGGAAAACACAAGATAGCACATACTCATACACAAACAAAAAACACAAAGAGGGCGCCATATTTACCACTTCTTTTTTTTTTTTTTTAAAGATTTTATTTATTTATTTGACAGAGAGATAGAGAGCACAAGTAGGCAGAGAGGCAGGCAGAGGGAGAGGGAGAAGCAGGCTCTTCGCTGAGCAGGGAGCCCGACATGGGGCTCGATCCCAGGACCCTGGGATCATGACCTGAGCCGAAGGCAGACACTTAATGACTGAGCCACCCAGGCGCCCCAAATATTTACTACTTCTTTAAACTGTATACTAAAAGTAAACATCTGGATGCCTCCCTGGCTCATTCGTGGAGCATGCGACTCTTGATCACTGGGTTCAAGCCCCATGTTGAGTGTAGAGATTACTTAAAAAAATAAAAATAGGAATGCCTGGATGGCTCAGTTGTTTAAGCATCTGCCTTTGGCTCAGGTCATGATCCCAGTTCTGCATTGGGCTCCTGCTCAGCAGGGAGCCTGCTTCTCCCTCTGCCTGCTTCTCCCACGGCTTGTGCTCTCTCTCTCTCAAATAAATAAATAACATCTTTTTAAAAAATAATAAGTAAAAATAATAATAAACATCATGGAAGTGTTAGAAAGGTCCATATAGATCAGGGTTCCTATGCCTTTGTAATTCATGAACTCCATTGAGAATTGGATAAAAAAGTTTATGGATTGGGGTGCCTGGGTGGCTCAGTTGGTTAAGTGTCTGCCTTCAGCTCAGGTCATGATCTCAGGGTCCTGGGATCAAGCCCCACATGAGGCTCTCTGCTCAGCAGGGAGCCTGCTTCTCCCTCTCCCTCTATGCTCTCGCTCTCTTTCAAATAAATAAATAAAATCTTAAAAAAATTGTATCGATTCCTCCATCCCCTCCTTAAGAAAAAAAAACTATATATATTATATAAAATATGTGTACTATTATAAAAATATATGAGCATAGATTCCCACAGGGGCCATCTAGGTAACATAAATATGTGAATTGGGCCAAGTGCAGACAATAAAGAATAGGGACACTTGTGTCAAACTAGAAAGTAATGCCAAGTTAAGACAATAGAGAATGGTAGGGTTTGTGAAAAACTAGGATGCACATCCTTACCTAAACTAAATTCAAATTCTAAACAATTTCTAGAAAATAACACCTGCAAAATATAACACATTTGAGGTAAATTTGACTGCAAACCCCTGCAGTTTGCAGTTCTAGGCTCTTATTATATCTAAACATGGGGCTACTCTCATTTTTTGTCCCCAGGCGCGACAGCAAGCTCAAGTACGTCACCAAATGGCAGAGGACAGCAAAGCAGATTACTCATCAACTCTCCAGAAATTCAACCACGAGCAGCACGAATATTACCATACTCACATCCCCAACATATTTCAGGTAAGTAATTCAGGCTTCTCAGATTGGCTTTGCCTTTAGAGACACATGGCTTTGGAATCATGATTGCTGGGCTTATATTGAGTATTTAATACATGAATTCTAAGTTTCCTCAAACTGAAGTCACTTTTGAAAGCATCCAGGGAGCGCCTGGGTGGCTCAGTCGGTTAAGCACTTGACTCTTGATCTCAGGGTCATGAGTTCAAGCCCTGTGTTGGGCTCTGCTCTGGGCATGGAGCCTACTTTAAAAAAAAGGGTATATATATATATATCAAGCATTGACTGGCAATAAGATGAAATATAATATTAATCTCAAGGTTAATCAGTGACCTTTGCAGATGTCCTCAGTTTGCACCTGCAACCTTTCTTTGCTAGTCTTAGAAGTACAATTCTTAGATTAGCACCCTCTTTGCTAAAAGGACCATTCAGATTATAAAATGCCAACTTAATATTAGGAGTTCCTAGCAGAATTCATACGGTTGTAGAATTTGAACAAATGACAGTCCTTTTCTTTGGATTGTTTATCTTTTGGCTACTTTAGGTTGTCAGAAATGGCATGAGAAAAGTTGTAGACATGTTCTCCCACTTTGGGAATCTTCTACAACTTGTGAACTGGGGTCCAGTTGTAGAAAAAATAACAAGTATCTGCTTCTTCATGTCTACACACACAGGAAACAAGAGCCTCCAGCTTGTAGACGGAAGATACACAGTTACCTCTCAGCCTGTGTTGGGTTGAGACCATTAACCACACCAGGCTTTTGGTAGAGTGAAATACCCGATCAAAGGCAGAGGAGAGGTTTGAAATGTATCACCAAATGGTGTCAATGATAAAAGCACTTGAGCTTGGGGTTCTCACTGAAATTGGGATGGAATCCTATAAAGTATACATTTGGACAGCCTAACAACTCATAAAATATGTGTACAGCTGGTGAAGATGGAGGCAATAATGATAATGATCATGTAGCTCTAACCCTACCAATTGGCCTATTTCCGTCCCAGACTATTTGTTCGAGGTAACAGTGCCGCTGAAAACAACTTCCGTGAGTCATAGTGGACCAAATTAATTTCATACAAAATCTAATGTTGCAGAAAATACAGGAGATGGAGGAAAGGAGGATAGTGCGAATCGGGGACTCGATGAAGACCTATGCAGAGGTGGACCGGCACGTGATCCCAATCATTGGGAAATGCTTGGATGAAATAGTAAAGGCAGCCGAGTCCATCGATCAGAAGAATGTAAGTATTGTAGTTTGGACTTAATTTACAACGAAGGACTCCTGGTTCCATTATTTCTTTGCCGCCGTCCACAGTGACCTCACTGAGTCATCTCGAGATGGGTAGTTGCTTCCAGTGCTCACGAGTACTTTGCAGCAGTGGTAACGACACTTCTGAGTGTTCTGTTCAGCTCTCAGTGTTTTGGATTTAGCTCTCAAATTTCTTTTCCAGAAAACACAGGTAAGTCTGAGACATTGCAGAATTAAATTGTTTTCCTGTCAGTTGGCTGAGTAACTCCCCACCCCGGGATCTGGTTCTTTAGGTCACTGTTGACATTTTGCAGGCCAGATAATTCTTTATTCTAGGGCACAATCGTCTGTCTGAGAACACTACTCAGGGCCAATGTCATTCATTTGGATTACTTTCCTAGAAACCTATTTCCCTCAACAAAAATATCAACTAGGACACCAGCAGGGTTTTACAAACATCTATTATTTTGCAAAACCAAATATTTAACAAAAAGCGATGTCGTAAGTATTCTTTGTCATAAGAGCGTCTTAAAATGAGTCTAGGCAAGGGACCAAAGTGGTCTTTCCTGTATGAACATATCTTACATATAGATTCTTCATTGCTGTAAGGACATTTTAGGTGTATTAACATATTTAAGGCCATCTGTGTAAAAAAATTGTTATCAACCCAATGTGCAGAAACACTTCCAAATGTGTTAACTAATAAGTGTTTGTAGGAAGAACGGTTCCAGTAGCGGGCATATTTTTTTTGATTTTAGGATTCCTTGATCTCTATTTTATTAACATCTATTCACCTGGAGCCTCCTTCTTCAGTGATTTCAGCTAACTTTTTTGAGGAAAATTACTAATGCTTATTGTGTTCCCCCCACAAAACTACATTATGCCAAGAAGTAGGTGCAGGTGATCAAACCATCCTTTCCTTACAATGAACGTGTCTTTATTTGACGGTTTTATCTCCTTTAAGCATCTCCAAAGAGAGACAGTCCTTTTGCTGAACACATGTCTTGGTTGAGACACATGTGACTGGTCATGCATCCATGTAGTCCAGTTTCCCGTTTTCTTACCACCATTACCTCATTGATTTTGGACATCTCTGCATCCTCAGTTTCAGACAAAGTCTTTTTTTTTTTTTTATTTCTTTTTTAAAAATAAAGATTTTTCTTTATTTATTTGAGAGCAAGAAAGCACGAGCAGGGGGCGGGGCAGAGGGAGAGGTAGGCTCCCTACTGAGCAGGGAACCCAACTTGGGGCTCTACCCCAGGACCCTGGAATCCTGACCTGAGCTGAAGGCAGATGCTACACTGACTGAGTGAAGCACACCCAGACACCCCTTGGACAAAGTCTTTTGGTGGTTCATAGATGCCTGGCTCATGGAGGGAGATCAAGAAATAGTCTTGGTGAGGCTTTCTCTCATCGCCCTATTTAAAATGTCAACAGTCACCAATGACTGTGGAGAGCGGTCTTTTAAAGGGAAATAATAATAGTGAGGTTTATAAGGTAAGCCTTCACCTCTGTTGAATCTTGACTTTTTTCCTTAGCCTCATTGACTTCTGGCATTGATTAAAATCTGAAACAAGCCTGATTTTAATTTCTTATATTAGAAGCTTGGAAATGTCTTTTTCCTTGAAACTTCCCAATTTTACAAGATCATGTCTGAATGATGGTTTCCCTTGAACAGTTTTACCTGGGAAATTGTGAGCACCCTAGATTTATAGGATATTTCTCCCATTATGGGAGCCTTGTTTTCCCATTTTATCACTGATCATTCTTTTTCACCTACGACTTTTATGTTGCTAAATACAAGGGTCTTTTCTAAGTCTTCATTCAAGTTCTTTTTTTTGTTGTTTTAAAGATTTTATTTTATTTATTTGGCAGAGAGAGAGCAGGAGAGCACAAGCAGTGGGAGCGGCAGAGGGAGAGGGAAAAACAGGCCCCCTGTCGAGCAGGGAGCCTGATACATGGCTCGATCCCAGGACCCTGGGATCATGACTTGAGCTGAAGGCAGTCGCTTAATACCACCCAGGTGCCCCTTCATTCAAGTTCTTATTCAAGAATTTGAACTCTTAGCAGCACCAGCCCCCACTTGACCACCCTCCTATCTGCTGTTCCTTCACTTGATTCCCAGGAAACCATACTGTGATGGCTTTTCTCCTCACTGACTCAGTCTCCTTTGCTTGTTCTTGTTTTCCTTCTTCTTACCATTTAACTTGGGAGTACCCCTGGGCTTTGATCTTGGACCTGTGTACTCTCCGCATTCGCTCCTTAGAGTGATCCGTAGACTCTTGGAGCATTAAGTCCCATCTCAGCTCTGAATCACACATGTTACATTCCCAGCCTGGACCTGTCCCCTCCATGGCAGGTTCATACACTCAGCTGCCAAGTGGCTTCTCCACTTGGATGTCTACTACGTTCCTCAAGCTTAGCGTATCCAAAACGGAGCTCCCGATCTGTCTTGCCAAACCTGCACCTCCTTTAGTCTTCATTCTCTCCGTCATGGCATTTTCATCCTTCCGGTTGCATGGATCTTGGAGTCATCTTTGATACCCTCTTCTGACACCTGCATCAATGTGTCAGCCAATCCTATTGGCTTTACTTCCAAAATACATTCAGAATCCACACAGCTCTCACCACCTCTATTGTTACCCTCCTGATCCAAGATCTCCATCCAGTTGGATTGTGCAGGAAGAGCCTGGATTACTGCAGGAGATGTCTAATGTCTCCCCACCTTTGCTCCCCACCCCATTCTTAACACAGAGACCAGAGGTGTTCTTTTACAGTAAGTCAGGTCACGTGTCTCCTCTGCTCAGAGCCCTCTGTGGGCTTCTGTCATACAGGAAAAGTCAAAGCCACTGTGGCCTCAAAGTCCTAAACTATCTGGAACACCCTCCCTCCCCATTTATCTGTCTGACGTCACCTATTCTGTATTCTCCCCAGTGCTGTAGCCACAATGGCCTGCCTACTATTCCTAAAAAACTCGCAAGTATGCTCCTACTGTGCTGTTCCCTTTGCCTGGAATATTCTCCCCATAGATATCTGCCTGGCTCACTCCCTCAGCCTCCTTCAGGGGTTTACCTGAATGAATGTTTCATTTTGCTCTTTTTTGAGAATTCAAGGGTCAGATATTTCTTAATCCATACAGATCATCTTTCCTGGCACATTCCCTTCCTCTTTCCGAACATCCCTGCTCTGTTCTTGTGGTGCATCTCAAGTTTATCTTCTCTTGCAGATTCGGCTCCTAGCAAAGTTAGTTGTGGTCTTGCTGCTTTGATCTTTGCTATTTTTATTCTAGTTTTCCTTTGATCACACATGCTCTTTATCTCCGCCTCTTCGTGTTTTCATTTTGAGAAACAGTGATGGTAATTTTATGAAATGCTTCCCTGAACATTTACTGAACACCTACTTCCTTCCATGCATGGTGTGCTCACCACGACCCGCCGAGGAGAACCTCGAATTCAGAGAGGTTGCAGCCCTGCCCAGGGCCATATAGTGAATATGTCCATCTGGTTCCAAACCCAGGTTCTTCCCTTAAGGCCCCCCCCACACACACCTTGTCCTTTTTATTTCTAAAGCAAGCACTGTTTCTGGCACATGTTTGAATCCACTCACTCACTTGCTGACTCACAAGTGCCAGGCACAGCTCTGAAGACAGAGACGGACAGTAACAAAATAAATGAGAACCTTATTTAGAGTGTTAAAACAGGATGAGCATTTGGGGGAAAATGAGCTAAGAAAGGATGCTAGGAAGTGCCTGAGGGGGTGGGGCTGGCTATTACACCAAGAAGTTACATTTGTGCAAAGACTTGAAAGAGGTGATTGAATAATTATTTAAATGGGATAGGAGGACAGAAAGCTCCCAGCTCTGTTAGCCCCCCCTCCAACAAACTGGATGTCCCCTCTCCCCCTTAAAGCAGTCTCAGAATCACATGATTACTTAGAAGTTCAAACTGGTTTATTTATGTATGGTTAGTTTCCATTTATATCAAATGACTGTGTTTTCATTAGAGCACATCAGTGAGTCACTGGCACACCTGGGCTTGTAGATCTGCATCTGCTCGCGTACGTTTAACTGCATGTAACAAGAACAGTAGTGTCTTACACAAGGCCATTTGTTTTTCCTCTCACATAAAAAATGTCTGCAGGCAGAGGGTCCAGCCCTGGCATGGACAGATGGTCTGTAAGTTCTCAGGGACTCAGGCTCCTCCTAGTTCACAGCTTTTGATGATGTGACCTTCAAACTCAGTATGGCTTCTGGAGCTCCAGCCATCACATCCAAATTCCAGAAAGCAGAATATAGAAAAGGACCCATGCCATCCCTTTAAAGAGTCTTCCTAAAATTACACACCATCCTGTCTACATCTCAGAGATCTCAGAGGTCAAAACTTAGGTGTCCACTTCCTGCTGCTCAGAAGGCTGGGGAATGGGAAGCCTTTAGGTGGGTGGCAAGGTGCCCAACTTAAAATCAGGGTTCCTATTGCTAAGAAGGGAAGGTAGTTGGCTGTTGGAAGATAATCAGCAGTCTGTGGCCCATCTACAAAGTAAGTAGTAGCTAAAATAGCTATGACATACCAAAATGTGGACTTATATTAAGAATTGAGATCTTTCCAGGGATGCCTGGGTGGCTTAGTTGGTTAAGCGTCTGCCTTCGGCTCAGGTCATGATCCCAGGCTTCTGGGATCGAGCCCCATATCGGGCTGCCTGCTCAGCAGGCAGCCTGCTTCTCCCTCTCCTGCTCCCCCTGCTTGTGCTCTCTCTCTGTCTCTCTCTCTGACAAATAAATAAAATCTTTAAAAAAAAAAAAAAATTGAAATCTTTCCAGATTGTCTTCTCTAGTGTTTTTTTTTAAGTCAGATGATCATTGACTTCAAATGTTACTATGAATCACATGTGCTTTTGTAATACTTTATGTATACATCTATCTATCTATGACATCATGATTGTGATCGCCTTACACATTTGTCTGCACCACCCGACCCCGAGAAAGATGTAGCACCCAAAGTTCCTAGCAGGGTGCACACCCTAGAGTAGGCGTTCAGTTCATTGATTTATTCAGCATTTATTGCACACAGTTCTCACTGGGCACCATCTAGGTCTAGGGATACAGTAGAGGAAAAACAGACGAGAGCTTTGCATGTGAGTGGGGGAGGGTCTATGAACAAATGCATCCATAAGGAAAAATCATGCAATGAATTAATATCCCTGAACCACAATGAACCAAAGAAGTGAGAGAGATTATCTACTCTTTGCTTTGACTTTCTGTATGCTAAACTACCTTAAGAACTCCTGGTGAGAACCAGACTTCTGTATTACTGTATTTTTCAAGGGAAGTGCATAACAGTAGCCCATTTTTTTCTGCTTTTAGCAAAGTCCTTCTTACTTAATATTTGATTCTCCAGCTGCGGAAAAATGGTTTTTGAGAATATCTTTCCATCTCAGCTAGGCGTATAGCTTTTCGAATAGTGCTTATTCTTTCTAATGATAAAAATATTACTAGAAAAAATCTGTTATTAATCAATATAGATAAAATTCTATAGATAACTATAGAGATACAGTTCTTTACGATAGCATCTGTATGAAGCCATCAAAATTCGTGGTGTCGAAAGTATTTGCACGTGTTTGAATGCATTCGTGTTTGATGGGTGTAATTTCAGGATTCCCAGCTGGTAATAGAAGCTTATAAGTCCGGGTTTGAGCCTCCCGGGGACATTGAATTTGAGGATTACACTCAGCCGATGAAACGCACTGTGTCAGATAACAGCCTTTCGAATTCCCGAGGAGAAGGCAAACCAGAGCTCAAGTTTGGTGGCAAATCCAAAGGAAAGTTATGGCCCTTCATCAAAAAAAATAAGGTACTGATGGTTGGACCAGTGTGAAATGAGTTTTATCAAGTGTGGAGATTTTGACTTTCTCTGTTAGTCTTAAAAAACAAAACAAAACAAAACTTAAGAATGTAAGCCTGTAGTTCACAGAATGCAAAAAAAGAGCTAGAATGCGATTTTATTTTAAACCATGATTTCTCTTTGGTGGTGGTCCCTTTGCCATGGCCATTTGTCTTATTTCAGATGCATTGCCACCTGACTCATGTCACCCACACTAACACTGACCTCTACTGACCTCTCGGCCATTCCCCATCATGCCTTTCACTGCTAAGTCCGCTAGCCACCTGGTCCCCTCGGCTGGGAGAGAGGGCACTGCGCAGGATTTCTCTCTAACAATTTATCAGCAGCTCTGATTGAAATTGTTTCCACCGGTTAATAGCTTTGTTTTTGAATTCATGTTAACATGTACCTCCATGAACATTGTGCATTTTCTTTTGGTAGCGTGGGACATAGGTGCATGACAGTGTTAACCTGGGCGTCACATTACTGTGCTCTGCTGAGAATAACTGCATATTTAATTTTTCAAAGACTGTCTTGCTGTTTTGACAACCTTGGCATCTAAGGTCCTTTACGTTCTCTCATCAAGCTCTGGTGGTTTAGATGGTTTAGAACTCTTTACCCTTCTGGCCTTAACTGGTTTAGCGTAACTAATCGGAAATGTAGTTTGCATGTGAGAGTCTGCATGAGCTTCTTGTCAGAGATTTCTTGCTCTTCTTCCATTGCTTTACTTACTAAAACCTCCACTTTTTGTCATATTCTACATGTTTTCTTTTGGACCATGGCCTAAATATTTAATCGTTTGTGTTTTACTTGCTTTGGATTTCAAATATTATTTGATGCTTATTTTTGTTTTGTGTCTTATCTTCTTGTTTCTGATTTTACTCTGTCACTGCTCCATCTTACATGTAGCTTATGTCCCTTTTAACATCCCCCCATCAGCCTCCCCCTCCTCCCCCTGCCTCTGCCTCACCCTCTGCTGTTCCCAACGGCCCCCAGTCTCCCAAGCAGCAAAAGGAACCCCTCTCCCATCGCTTCAACGAGTTCATGACCTCCAAACCCAAAATCCACTGCTTCAGGAGCCTAAAGCGTGGGGTAAGTTCTGCTCTGGAATCCCGTCTCTCTCGTGCGCTCTGAGTGCATGTGTCGTTCTGCATGACTTATTTTGTTTGTGAATGAATCCATTGTGTTTTTCCATAACACGAAACAGTAAGGACCTGGGATCCACCATAGCTAGAAAGAAGAACCACAATAGGAGGAGGAGAGAAGAAAGAAGGAAGCAGAATGGATGGAAAGAAGAAGAGAAAGCCAGCCAGCCGGCCCAGAGTCTTTTTGGTCTCGAGCACATTTTAGAAAGTCTTTTCTCTACTTCTCTTTTAAAACCTCTAAGTCATTAATATTCTACCTTGATTTTACCAAAAAAGGAAGCTTAGATTCAGTTTCCAAAGCCAACGACATCTGAGATGAGGAATTGGAAGTCACTGTAGACTCAGAAAGTATTTGCTTGATAATTACTGAAACAATGTGAGTGTCACAAAGATACTTCTCTCTGAGCTAAGCTTCGGGGTTCGAAGGGGAAATGGCACGAAGTTACAGTGGTTTCTTTAGCTGTGTTGGTGAACTTATAAGATGGTGATAAAATATCTGTTGGCTGGAAGAGACCTCTAATGCCGGCTTTATCTTTAGAGGCTGAGATAATAAGCAACTGACATTTATTGAGCACTTACCATGTACCAGACTGTTCCATGGGACCATTTACTTTTCTTCAACTGCCCTATGAGCCTAGGTACACGACATCCTTATTTTCCTGATAAGAAAACTGAGGCCTAAAAAGATGAAGTTAGGAAGAGGTAAAGCTCACTGTCTGAGGTTCTGTGAAGTCCACACTCGGGAAGCATCTGTTATAATATGGTTGACTCACGAGTGGATGTCCTTTAGATCCCAGCTTGCCATTCGAATCAGGATCACCTGTGCCAAATTCACAGTTTTGTGCAATTGATCCCGTAACCAAAAGGAGTTACCAGTTTGGTTTACAGTAAAAGATTGGAACAAAGTCGTTTGGAGCCTCCCAAATAAATCGAACTGATCAGTGTAGTCTAAGCCATCCCCAAATATCCTATATAATGAATAATGAGGCGTGGCGATCAAGAATAAACAGACATGTGTGCCCAGTAAGGTCTTTTATCCTGACCTGTGGGGACTGCAATACAGCGGTCGTGGGATGTGTTCTCGTACAAACATAATTTTTACTCTTCCCTTCCTTTGGGTAAGAAAGAAGGTAAATGTATAATAGCTGTGACTAAAACAAGGGGCGGCACATATACTAAAATTGGAACGATACAGAGATTAGCACGGCCCCTCGGCATGGATGACACGCAAATTCGCGAAGCATTCCGTATTTTAAAAATAAGTAAGTAAATAGAATGAAGTACAACTCCCCCCCAATTCTTTATATGCAGAGTTCCTTTAATAAGGGAATCTCAACATTTTATGCAAAGAATACATATAGTTGGCGAAATTATCTTGTCTTAAGGTTTCCCAGCATATCAGGTTAAGAATTAGAAATGTAATTTCCTCAAGATTTCAAGAGAGCCATTGTTAGAAGGCAGAGTGTAGCTTCAGAAGTGGATGATGGATCGCGTTGAGCTCTATAATTAGATCTCAGTTCCTGGCTCGATCAGGCTGGCTTTTAAAACTCCCCGTCCATCCTGCTTGCTCATGGAAGAATTTCCAACATCTGGCCAGGGTGTTTTTGCGACATTATAAAGTTTCATGTTAACTGTCAGTCAGTTAACCCATCTCTCTGCCACTTGCAAAACCTTTACAGAGCACTCATTTATTATATTTCTAATAAGTACCTCTGCATGGTCTTTTGGAACCTCACGTAGAGTATGCTGAATATTTGTGATTGTTTACCATTTGTTTCTGTGTCTGTTTCATTCTCTCAACACTACACAGTCTGTTGGTTGCAAATGGGGTTTTCCGAATCTGCGTTTCATGATGTTCTGTAAATGTTTAGGAAAAGACCAAAGAATGTCAGTAATCAATAAGTGTACAGGAAAGATGGCTAAGAAAAATATAACCCTTCAAAAACAGTGAAATGAGAAACAAGTTATTATGATGATTTAGAGGAAAATCCCTCTTTTAAAAATTGTAATTAACAAAGTGAATTTTATTTCTTACTCTTTAAATCTGTGCTCAGCAAAAACTCAGTCAAAAATTTTTTTTCTCAATGCTTTGTTTTCCTGAGAGTTAACACACACACGTACACATTCTAGAAGAATTAGTAAATAAATAGAAACACATTTCTGCTTCCTTCGTTTTGGGTCAGCCTGTTCTTAGTGAGGGTCAGATTTGAGGTGCCTTCCTTCAGGAAGTAGAAGTGAACAAAAAGAAAGAAAAAAAAAGAAAAAGGAAATGCATCACAGAAGTAAAATTAGGAAGTTCAAAAATAAAAAACAAATCTGAAGTTTGGGAAATAAATTTGATTTTAAAGCAATCTCAACCCAGAAGGTACACGGATTACAGGGCCCATGATGAAAATGATACTGTCCTTATATTTCCTTTATTCTTACTTTTTAACTTTAAGACTGTTGTGCCAAAGGTAGGAAAAGTGTCCTAGAATAATAGATCTGTGATTTTAACACATCTTTTAATTTATTGTGTTTTGCAGCTTTCAGATCCAGGTTTCAATCCTTTGTTCCTATTACCCGAATGTGTAAATCCTAGGCAGACATTTCTTAGCATAGGCGATTTTGTGTCTGAATAATTAACCAGGATAAAATGTTTTTTTGTTGTGCATCATTGGCATCTGTAAGAAAATTTTGTTTCACTGAACATTTCTAAAGTATGCCACCTGAGCATTATTAACCATGTTCTCATCTTTACCTAAGTCAAGGAAAAATGAAAGTAGATAGTATGGTCTCGGTTTGCAATTTACAAATGTAATTTTGTTGTCTTAAGTTAAGATTTCTGTTTCTGCTCTGGGCAAGGGCCTTCTAAATCTAAAATATGGACCTAGTTCCCCCATGTTTTAGAGTTCATTGCATGGAAAAATCCCACCGAAGTTGATCAAAAGGTTTGGAAAACCCTTACCGATTGTTTGTCAGATGTTACAATTTCATGGTTACTTTCATTTTGTTTATTTTATCTTGTTCTCTTGCTGATTATTGGCAGACTCAGTCTTTCAGTTTTCACAAAGAACTCATGAAGAGGACGATAGGGAAACCCACGTATGCTTTTGAAGCTAGGGACTATGTTGTAAGTTCACCTGGGATGGCCAGGGCATACAACCTAGCACAGGTACTAACCCCTATGACAGCACCAAGACCGGGGACCTGGCAGTGAAATTCCCCCCGGGGAGACCTGGACAGGGGAAGGGCCTCACTATTAGCATGAATTCAACCCCAAGCTACTTCATCTGGAAAGCTTGGGTGGGAAAGGGAACCCAACTTCCCAAGAACAACCAAGCTGCCTCAAAATGCCAATGGACCGAGCTTGGCTCTGCCCCCGCCTCGCTGATCGTGACTGCCATCTGAGATGTCTGCGGGTGTGATTTTACGATGGGTGTGAATCTCACCCATAAACGCAGCCGCAGAGCGTGGTGCCCGGAGAAGGACACTCTTACACACGGCAGTCGTGTAGCTCGTACGAGGACCCACATCCCCGTTTGAAAGAGGTGGATCCGTCGGGGGGTTATGCCATGACGCTTGGAGAACCAAAACAATCACTGGGGCGTGAGCGAGGTCGTAGAGTAGTCACGTGACTTCCCACGGACCTTCATTAAACACAGTGACTTGGATATTTATTTTCACTGTCCCCTTTCTTCGTACTTGAGGTTAGTACCTGTGACTGAGCAGTAACACATGGACCCGCTGGCTCTGTGACCCCCTCATGTGTTATTGACATGTGTGGCCCCCAAGCCTCTATACTTGTTGCCTGAAACTGACAGCTTTTTAGCTCCTCGGATGTCTCGCAATGCACTTAATGCAGTCTTCACAAGTATTCTCTTAAGTGATTCGGTTCCTAATGTTAAATGATCTAACTGGTGGGCTTACAACTTAAGACCGAAAACCGGTGTAGGATCGTTACAAGAATACCACATCCCGTGATGGTGCTTCTTGTAGATGACCCATTGCTGTCCACTTCAGAACATTGAATCTGTCTTGAAAGTCCGGTACTTCCTGTGGGTCCTCAGATTTATTTGCAATCCTAATGACTCATTTTTTTTTATTATGAAGTGGTAATATTCCTATGCTATTAGTTTTGGTGTTAGAATGCTTCTTTGGGAACGCTTAAGAAAGAATATATAATTGATACATGCATATAAGTAACGGAAGTTAGCCGAATAGAGAACAGGTAGTATACGGAGTTCAAACGTCAGGTCTTTAGACAATAATGCGTGAGAAAACATTTGTAGGGGGTAGTGTGCTTTGTAGGGAAGATATTTGCAAAGTTTTCTGCTGTGCACCCTGAGTGTTGTCTGTAAAGAACTCAAGTCGTGACAAACCGATCTGTGCTAAAGCTCACAGGAGGGGCCCACAAGAACAGTCAGGAGTGTGCATGTACGTACCTCGTTCTCCCAAAATTTTGTCTTACTGCTTCTTTCCTTAAAGTCTTTTTCCCCATAGGGGTGATTTCTTTAAAAGCTTGATGCCAATTTAAAAAGAAGTGTCCATTTTGAGTTCATCTTAAGAATAAGATTTTTAAAATCCGGTTAAGGAATTTTTAACACCCTGCACTCTCAATTTAAAATCAGAGGGCGCTTTCTTTGGTACTTTGTCTCCAACATATTTTTGATCCTGCTGCAGCTGCCTGAACTTTTAGGATTGACGACAGCTAAGTAAAAATTCACCGCGCTCTCAAAACACTGCTTTCCAGCCATAGAGCATGTCTCACCTGTTAACGAAGAGCCACATGTTTCTTTTTTTCTAATTTGGAGATGCCTTTTAATCTGTTTTGTGCCCAGTAATCGCTCTACCTTTGCTAATCTCCAGGCCCAGCAAAATTGCACCAGCTGTCTCCTGATAATTGTCAGGAAACCCATAGCAAGGAGTTCCCCTGGGTAGTTGAGATAATTGGCTCTCTGTTTCCTAACAGTAACTTTCAGGGCAGCTACCCCTGTTAGTTCCCCAAGTGCTGTGTAAGCCCCGTGGGTAGGGCTCAGAGTGGATGGAGAGCCCCTGAATACACCTTCCACCGTGCCGGGGCATGGCTAGCGGTGCCAGAGTGTCGTCCTGCCTCCAGCCTGGTGCAGAGAGGCTTTTGGGATCCTGCAGATGGTTTCCTAGAGCAACTTCCAGCCCCTAGTTACCTGTTCACCCATTCAAAGTTTGCCTTCATGCCTTCGAGAAACGCCAGTGTTCGCATTTATTAGAGTTCCTCAAGATAAATACATTACTTGTACGTTGTGGAAACAATTGCTCTTGAGACGCCCCCTGTAAGTAAAACTCTCCATGTGAAACGTGGTGAACAAAAGGCGATGTGACTCTTTTTGTCTTTTATTATCAGCATGTGTCACCAACTGCAAACTTATTTTAGCTTATATCCAGGCTGATGTGATCCACACAGAACTGTGAACAGAAACTCTCCTTTTCTATCTTTATTCTTTGCCCTGGTAACGTGGCAGCTAAAGGAAGGTTTTGGCAGGGGCCAGCCCCTCTTGTGAACGTTTGCACAGATCCGCTGCAAGTCATTTTCACAAGCGACAGGTGAATTTATGTGTTATGTTAATACGATGCAACTGACCAAATTCCTCTTCTTCTGATGTGTTGTCTCTCTCTTTCTTTTTTTCCCGTTACCTCTTCAATTTTTACGTGAAGCTTTCTCTCAAGCTGGTAAGCACAATTATTCTATGCATGTCCCGAATCTAATCAGGTTTTTTGGTGTATGTTTCTGTTGCGTGTGCTTTCGTTGGTGTTTCTTCGTTAGACCTTTGCAATCCAAAGGTCCAGAATCTACGAGGGGCGATCTTAATCTTTTCAAGTTGCTAAGAAAATTAACGCTTAACTCATGATTTGGTTTCCTTTCTTATTGGGGCCTTAAGAGGAGGACAGATCTTAATAAACTTTATTTAAATGTGAGCATAAATATAAATATTCGATATCGGGGAGTTTATTTATTGGATCATTTGGAATAAAAGTAAATTTAACAGCTAAAGATGCTCCTCCCTGGGAGCCACAGAAGCAGATGAAAAACACGGAAAGCCTGAGGGAGACGTGCAGGAATGGTGCCAGTCTCAGACTCAGGTCCAAGGCAGCCTGCAAGATTCGCAACCAATGGGATCTTGAAGTTGCAACATAAATACGTGGGTGCCTTGTGCATAGCTGATTTAAGAAATCACAAGATGACTTTATGGACAGTTAAAAGAGCCTCCTAAGCCTTTCTAAAATAATTTACTTAGTATTCTATGTTGTTCCTACCTAATTGCATAGCCCTAGTAAACAGACTAATCATTAAACTTATTAAAAGAAACCCTTAACTCTATAACCCCTAACTATACTTGAGTAAGTTCTCAACACCACAGCTGAGAATGTCCTAAAATTATGGACAGTGATAAGCTGCAACAATTCAACCAGGAATGAGGTCAGCTACTTTATGCACTGCTGTTGATGATGCAGGATAATAGTTTCTGGTTGTCCTGATATACACATTTGTATGTGTGTACATGGATACATATATGTGTGGATATCCAGAATTTTTTCAACCTGACTCAGTATTTGGCAACCAACCCGACCCTAGAGAAAACAAATATTTTATTAAATGGAACATTTCTTAGACTGTGAAATAAAATCCCCAGACGAGTCCTTAATTAAGGTCTCTACGAGAAGGAAAACATTCTAAATGTTTCAATGAACTGCGTTCGGTGGCAGCATGAATTTGGGAGAAACTGGATCCATTAAGTAGGAGTCTCTCAGGTACCAGGGTTTCTTCTTTGCCCTTTCTGTATTTCTTCTTTTGCTGAGGGGCTAGCAGCAAAAGCTAATAGTATTAATAAATTAGGCGGTCTTTCTGTCTGAGATAAAAATCACTTGACCAACCTGGTATTGAATTGTTGCTTTATACCATTACTTGGAAGCCAGTAAAAAAGTGAAGCATTGCCTGGGGTGAAAAAAAAGTGTGAACTCTCAAGAAGCAGCTCATGCTTGTGCTATTGGGGAGAGATGCTCAGAAGCAAGCGTTTGAGTCCAGAAGTGTGAAACAAGGTCCTCCTAGAGGCTTAGCCACTTAAAATAGCCATATACGCGTTGACCCCCTCTTGCAAAACCAGCGCCACCTCTGGGGCCAGTCTCTTTCCAAACTGGGCCACTCCAAAGATTTCAGAAAGTCTGCTCTGACTCAAAGCTAGAAATATAAATTCCTTCATGGCAAAATGAATCATAGGTCAGAATATGGTTTAAAATAATCCAAGCCTTAATGGCCTTTTAAGGTACTTCCAGACACCTGACGCACCTTTGGATCTAGAAGAAGCCGTGACCTGAATCTCCAAGGGCAATGCAAAGTTTGAGGCACGGTTCGCGAGATTAGTTTCTAGATAACAATACAGAAACACAGACTACCTATTGAAAGGGACCTAATTCGTTCATTTATTATTTAATGGGTTTTAGTTCTCGTAAATAAAGTTAAATTTTTTGCTGTAGAGGGTATCTGTTAATAAGTCACAAGTGCTGTTTATACACTGCAAACCTTCCACCTGCTCACAGTCTACACCTGTGTCCCATACGGTAGCCACCCATCACGTGTGCCTATTTAAATGTTCGTGAATTAAAATCCAGTAAAAACGTAAAATTCAGTTCCACAGTTGCACTGGCTGTGTTTCAAATGCTCAGTAGTCATGTGTAGCTACCGTATTCACCAGTGCAGAGATGAGAACTTTTCCATTCTTTGTAGAAAAAATTCTTTGGGGCTCCTAGCCCGTCGTTAGGCTTCGGAACTATTGACGAATTAACACTGAGCGCTCCCTGGATTTCCCGGCTTCTGAAGCAGCGCGTCTTTTGTTTTGTTGCATTCCAGCACCTAAAAACGAAACAAAACAATCCCCTGAATTTTGGAAAACATGCTCATGTGATTTAAGTAAAATCAGCATGAATACAAGGTATTGTGCTTTCAGGCTCGGTGACGGAGCTGAGCGAAGTGAAAAGCACACGGTTCAGGCTCCAAGTATTCCAACACGATAATCACATAGGGGACAGAAAAAACAAGCCTGATTTATTTCTACCCTGAAGATGAGTTTGGTTCATCTAAGCTTTAGAGGCAACTGAGCTTGCTTGGCTTGCCGTGAGGGACTAGCCACTTGTGTTGTGGTTTCACTCATCTCTCCCTCTCTTTCTCTTACGCACGGACACACGTACACACGCACGCACGAGTCTAAGAACATCAGCTGAAAGGCCTGTGCGTGGCCTTCGGCTAAACTCGGCTGCCTCACACGCTCCCAGCACAGCCCTGGCATTCTGTCCTAAGCAGCCGAGGAACCTGGTCACAAGCACTATGTCAGCTGCTTGGCAAATTCAGCTCAGTTTTGGAATTATATTACCCGGGTCCTCTCTTCCACCCACGCCCCCAAGCCAGCCTGTTTCATTGGTTCGAAAGTAAAATCTCTTCTAAAATTCCTTGGCTTCTCCCTGGCGATTGAATAGGTGTCTCTTTCTTTATGAAAATCGCTTCATTGAAGCAAAGGCACTTGATCACCGACAGCTTCAGCCGCAGCTTCTGACACGTAAGCATCTGCAGGAGTCTGGAAGCTCGCTGTTGATGTGTTCTACTGCAATCGCCTGCACCGAGGAAAGCTACTAATTGTTTCTGAAAGGGGATCAAGATATCCAAATAGGCTCCTTCTGCTGGATTGGAAACAGCTGGCTTGGATTTCGGGCGCTGGGAAGTTGGTGCGGAGGTCGGGGGGCGCATTCTATGTGGATTTGCTGAGGTCACCCTACAGATGTCAGAAAGGAGTGGCCAGACTTTGAGAGGCCGCGGAGGGGAGAGTGCAGGGGGTGGTGGAGGGGAGAGAGGGGGAGAATAGATGTTTTAATGTCCTTCCCCCCACCACATTCTCTGAGGAACCAGACGTCCCATCTGTCACTTGGTGGGGATGGAAACTTTTGGCCTCAGCCTGTGTGGCGAAGTGGAAAGACTCCGAGTAGGGAGTAAAACAGTGCCTTCGACATGAGACCGTTGATGATGGGGGCACTTGTCCCTGTGTTGTATGAGGGAGCAGAAACCTCAAACTTCCTTCACGCTCCAGTGTTGGCTACCAGCACTGACGGGCAAGTGAAGAATCTGCCTCAGACTTTGTTTTTCATCGATTCTCTTGGGGGCGGGGGGGGCAGAATTTTTTCTTCCCCTCCCTCCTCCTGCAGCCTTGCTCCTTGCCTTGGCGGAGGTGGTTTGGCCAGCAAGCCTGGACCCCGAACCGGTGTGTGGGACTTTTTTGCAGTTTGCATGCACTGATCTTGCATCTCAGCTGGGTGTCATGGGAAAGAGCTTCCCTTTAGTTCATGAGAACACATGCAGACATCTGCATCCCCTGGTGTCTGGGGAATGTGTCCTGCGGGCTTCACTCGGTGTCTGTCCTCAAGGAGGAGCGCCGGCTCATGCCTGTTTGCATTTGCAGGGCGCCACGCCAGAGGATTTCAGCAACCTCCCGCCCGAGCAGAGAAGGAAAAAGCTGCAGCAGAAAGTCGATGAATTAAATAAAGAAATTCAAAAGGAGATGGATCAAAGGTAGAGTGGAGCGATACTACTTATTTAGAAATTCAGGTTCAGTGTGGAAAGATGGGAAATCCTAAAACAGCTTCAAGAGAAGTGATTATTTCAGCCGTGTGTTTTTTTCATGGAGGGTCTACTGGATGGCTTCATTACAGATCGGGAGAATTCTTTTAACAAATAGGTTTTACTCTCAGTTTGGAGAACAAAATACATTTGGCTATCTTTTTTTTTTCTGTATTTCTGTACTTTTTTTTAATTTTTATTTCTCTTTAAGTTTTAAATTTTAATTCCAGTTATATTAGTTTCAGGTGTACAATATGGTGGTTCAACACTTCTACACATGACTCGGTACTCGTTACGATAAGTGTCCCCTTAGTCTCCTTCACCTGTTTCACCCATCCCCCACCCTCTTCTTTTTTTCTTAATCTTACGTATGTAGCTGAGTTTTTTGTACAAATGAGGAAGAGATACGTGGTGTGAATCCTGCCCCCTTCCCTTGCCCCACGTTCTAGCTTTGGGTCTAAAATGTCCTTGTCTTTCTGTTTGAGGATAAGTGACAGTCAACCTTTCCAGAGGTTCCCGTGTCTCCTTATCTTGTTATAGAGCATACTGATAGTGTCTAGAAAACAGATCATAGTATGTCTTATTACACACACACCACCGGCCATCAGAGTTATGATGTTTGCCTGCTCTTGAGAAGCTTCTGCATCAGGATCCCACTGCTGGGGTTCCTGGTTTTCTGAGCTGTTTTGTAAGTTTGATCCCAGGATGGTATATATGCAAAAAATAATAAGAAAAGATTTGATACCTCTTCATTTGCGCTTCCCTTCCCACATTTATAACCTGTAGATCTTTTCTGTCACTTAGGGGTTACTTGCTAATGAATCTGATTGAAAAACCACTTTATTATTTGTCTCTCACCTTATAAATTCTCAGAGTGAATTAGGTGAATCATTCATCTATTTGAGATTTTCTAAAAGATAACTTGAGATTTTGTGCCCTGTACACAGGCCAAAAAGTGATTCTACATAAATTTAGTTATGGCGGGGACACCTGGATGGCTCAGTTGGTTGAGCGACTGCCTTTGGCTCAGGTCATGATCCTGGAGTCCTGGGATCGAGTCCCGCGTCAGGCTCCTGGCTCAGCAGGGAGCCTGCTTCTCCCTCTGGCTCTCTACCCTCTCATGCTGTTTCTCTCTCTCTCTCAAATAAATAAATAAAATCTTAAAAAAAAAAAAATTTAGGGCGCCTGGGTGGCTCAGTTGGTTAAGCAACTGCCTTCGGCTCAGGTCATGATCCTGGAGTCCCGGGAT